AATGACAGGATACGAATCGAAAAGTAGATCGTACCGTCGGGCTGCAAGGCGGGATCAAAGCAGTGGCCGCACTTGAATCGAAAGGCAGATCAAGGGCCAAGACTGGATACGAATCGAAAAGTAGATCGTACCGTCTGACTGCAAGGCTGGATCAGAGCAGCGGTCGTACTTGAATCGGAAAGCAGATCAAGGGCTAAGACCGGTTACGAATCGAAAAGCAGATCGTACCGCCTGCCTGCAAGGCTGGAGCAACGCGGTGGCCACACTTGAATCGAAAAGCAGATCAAGGGCTAAGACAGAATACGAAGCGGATTGTACTGTCGGAGGAGCTCGATTTTCCTAGGCTCGGCCGTGGGGATGCCTTCAAATTCGAATCACCCAAAAGAAGCGGAGCACGTCCGCGGCCGAGCCATCAGCGCTACCTAGCGAATGCTGTGGGAGGCTGGGATGGGCGTCGCGGAATCGTGGAGCGGGGAAAGGGGGGGGGCGGACGGCGCGAGTCGCGGGCGCAGCGTAATCAGTAGCGGAGCAACCGCCGGCGCGGTGATGGGAGCGCTGCGCCTTGGCTGGAAGGAGATTCCAGCTGGCCGTAGTTCGCGGCGCGAACATTTTCTGTATGTAGAAGTTTTGTTGATTTCTTCGGATTTCGAATACTGTAACTTCTCTTCTATTCGGCCGATTTTTATGAATGAGGTCTCTCCTTATTTGTGTTTTAACGGAGAGTAAAGAAAAAATTGCTAAATACACGCGAAACAATTTTTTTTTTGAAAATTGGATGAATCCTAGCGTGAAGGTGAAACGGTTAATCAAGCGTAGGTAATTTGGCGAGGGACTGAGGATCCCGGCCGCGGCCCGGACGACCGTCAGCTATTGTTCGTGGAGAAGCCGACGCAGTGATCAGGAGCGTGGGGAAGAGAGGGCTAAGTGGATTCCTGTATGAGCTACGTTTAGTAGATGGTCTAATGAGTCTCGAGGCTCATCACAGATTGCACTTACGGCTGCCCTGGCTGGCCCTGGCTTGCAGGGCCAAGCAGTGGTACCAAATTTTGAAAAGCATATCAGGGGTATGGAGATCTGTTAAAGCAACGTTTTGAACGAAACGGATGAGTGCAATTTTTCATTCGAAGAGTGGCAAACTGATCAGCCATCCTCGAATCAGTTCGTTTGCTTCCGCGTATATATGCATATTTTAAATTAGCGCTGAGCATTCTCAGGTTTTTTTTAAAAAAACCAAGTAACGTAGACTCTTGAAATTCATTACACATAAACTAGAAAGCCCCAGAGTGAGATTAATTCTGCGAAAGTTGGCATAAGAGCACCACCTGGTTCATTAATTTAAGTTCCTATGAGGTCTTTGGACTACACTAAAAATTGAAGGGTTACGCGTCATATAGCGAGGAGAGCACTCCGGTCACACGGAGAGCTCATGGACTGTAGATTTTGAAAAAAATGCCTTTAATTCTTTGAAAGTTGGCTCAAAAACACCATCTGAGTCATTAATTTAAGTTCCAAAAGGATCCTTGGGCTAATCTCATAATTGCAGAGGGGCCGATAGGAAACGCTCAAGTCTCCGATAAATGAGTCGGAACGCTTCTAGATAATAGCAGCAAACGCTTTGAGTCAGGTGAAACCTAGGAATTCAAATGCATTATATAATGCATCATATATTATCTCCAAAGTTACTCCGTAGGTATACACCAAGCAAAATTAGACAACTAATTAGGTACTTACATTACATACTGACACATACAAGAACTGACACTTAGATCTTTATTAGAAATAATATGTTTGTTGTTAATGAATTTAGAATCCCGGCAGATTCCATCTTTCGCGGTTCCTTTTTACGAGGTACTGAACACAAATATAATA